CTGACCCAAAATATAAATAATGTACCTGATATTCTAGAACCTGACCCAAAATATAAATAATGTACCTGATATTCTAGAACCTGACCCAAAATATAAATAATGTACCTGATATTCTAGAATCTGACCCAAAATCGTAATCGGGACCCGATCCCGATTCCTTTGGTACTTGATGTGAAAATCAATATTTCTAAAACAGAAAAATAAATATTTTTCTCCATATTCAGGTGGGTTTCTTCATTTTTTATGTTGTCATGTGATTATTTCAGGTATTCTTTTGGGTTTTTCATTTTGGCACTTTGTGGTTGTTTATCGTCTTATGTTTTATAATTTTGTTGTCTTTTAAAGCTTATTATAATTATATAATCTTGGTCTTTTTTTAGTCCATGTGACATTAATTATCTTACTTGATCAATATTAAAGAGAATGTAGGAATTCTTGAATCTGATAAAACAACAAAGCAATCAGTCCGTTTATAGAATCCGTCTGATACGCTGATTATCTGCCCACTCACAAGGGGACCAGTTGGTTTATCCAGATATCTGGAAGAAATTAAAGGGACTGTCAGTGGGATTTAAAGTGACCATCCGTGCAAAGATAGAAGTGCCCGATTCACAATAGTACCCTTAAAACCTTTATCTAATCAATAATGTGAAAGATATTATTGTTTTTCAAGTGTTTGATTCAAATTCAAAATTGAAAATAATCTCTTTTCAAAATTTTAAACATTAATATTTAATGTATGCTTGATAAGACAACACTATAATAAGGGTACCGATCTGAATCGGTCATTGCCATCCTAGAATGGAGGGAACCCAAAACAGCCCAAAACCGACCAAAAATCACCAAAACTGCCTGAAACCAACCAATAATCCCTAAAACAGCCTGAAACCAACCAATAATCCCAAAAACAGCCTGAAACCAACCAATTATCTCCGAAACAGCCTAAAGCCATATCTCTAAAACTGCCTGAAACCAGCCAATAATTCTTAAAACAGCCTGAACCAAACCAGTAATCCGCAACTAACTGAAACCAACCAATAATCCCCGTAACAGCATGAACCCTAAAACTGCCCGAAACCAACCAATAATTCTTAAAACAGCCTGAAACCAACCAATAAATACAGAACAGCCTAAAACCCACCATTAATCCCCATAACAGTCTGAAACCAACCAATAATCCGGAAAACAGTCTGAAACCAACCAATAATCCGAAAAACATTCTGAAACCAACCAATAATCCAGAAAACAGCCTGAAACCAACCAATAATCCGGAAAACAGTCTGAAACCAACCAATAATCAGAAAACAGCCTGAAAAAAACCAATAATCCCCAAAACAGTCTGAAACCAACCAATAATCAGAAAACAGCCTGAAACAAACCAATAATCCCCATAACAGTCTGAAACCAACCAATAATCAAAAAACACCCTGAAACAAACCAATAATCCCCATAACAGCCTGAAACCAACCAATAAAACTGAAGACATAACTAACCTAATGGTTGACGAGTCAAGAACTTGAAGAACCAATGGGAACTCAAGATCGTCTCGCTCCCGACTAAAGAAAAGGTTTTGAAAAAAATAAAAATAGTAGAAGATGGAGGCAGTATGAAAAATTGAACATCTAAAGGCAAATAAACATGACTTACGGGTGGAAAATGATTTTTACAGGGAGGGGGTAAATTTTTTTAGAAAATATAAATCACTGAAGAAGAAAAATTTTATATTTTATTCTCCAAATGTACATCTCATAAGCAAAAATATAAAAACCTAGGAACCAACCAATATCACATCACCTTAGCTTTGTTTCACAGTTGGCCTTTAGACCAACTTCATTCTTGTTTAAGTAAGTAAGTAAAACAGAGCGTCTAAATAGTATGCATATCAGTGTGCAATGTGCATGTATGTTACCTATTGCCTGCCAAACCGTTACATTAAGAGAGATGTAACAAAATAAACGATCATTTCGACGCAAGAGGTCTTTTTATGCCTAGTGTTGATTAAAAGGTTTTTGAAATTCCACGGGCGACGCCGGAAACTTAGTTTAGCTGAAGAATTAGTATAATCTTCACCTGTTCAAAACTAGTTTTAAACAACCAAGGCTCAGTTCCACCTCCCCTTCCATCTTAAAAAAATATTATTATTTTATTTGCAAGATCAGAATAAATATTTAGAAAATTGCTAACTAATATTTCGATAATTTACCCCTTACTTACCCTAAATTTACTGTAACGTTCTTAACGGTTTAGAACATTTTTTCTGAAAAAAAAATAAGTTTCTAGATACTTTGCATCTCCCTAAGAGTGGTAAATTTATTCCTGAGGTTAGGAGGTAGGGTGGCCTCGGCTCTACAGACTATGGTTGATATCTCAAGGGCACTAGAGATTACTTATATCAGAATTTTGTATTTTCATTTTTATTTAATACCATTTGATATATATTTTAATTTTGAATATTTTTCTGATTTCATTGGCAGATTTTCTCATAAGAAAAAAAGTCGAAATTAATAAGAGACAAACTTTTCTAATGACCATCTATAATCTCCTTTGGGGGTCACAAAAAAAAATTGGCCGAACTGTCCCGAAGTTTACATGTATGGGATCCCAACAGACAATTAAGTAAGTAAGTAAGATATAAGAAAATTTGAGATATAAGTAATTTCCTTCCAGTTTTCTCCTCCCACTGTATCCAGTCTAGCCAGCACTGTACACTTGTTGTACCGTAGTGTGTACATACACTACTGTACACTTCACGTACATTCTTCTTTATCACCTAAAGAGGAGTTGTGTTTATTTTGATTTGTAAAAATACATGAAGGGGCTGTATAGTTTATACGTAGTTTCTTTTCAAATGACCCCCCATTTAAAATGTACATGCCCATTACAACGGCAAACTTTTTTTTAAGTACAATGAGATGGATATCGTCGTTTTTATATTCAGGAAAGAAATAAATTTCTTTCCACGTCTATTATACTTTTTATACAGAAAAACAGGGATAGCTTAATAATTTTCTTTCTTGGAAAACGGTTACTTGATGTCATGAGGCAAGAAAATCAATAAATCTGCTAGGGCCACTTATATTTTTACTAACAGTCCTTTTAAAGCTTTGAATTCATTATTAAAAGAAAGCTGAATATTGTTCTATTTCTATTCCGGGTAACAATTAAAAGACTGAAAAAAAATTCAAAAATCGATTTTTTTTCAAAATTATAATATTTTCAAGAATTCCACGGGCAGCGTCGGGCACTATAGCTAGTTAATAATATTCTCTAATTTGTTACCTTTGGTTGTTCCAGTTCTATTTCTAACATGGTGTTAAAGAATTCTTCCTTGAACGGAGGAAGATTAGTAAACCTGGAACAATGAAAATATTTGTATAGTTTACATTTGGGTATTTATTTACGCATCTTTATTATTTAATTATATATTTTGGTTCAAAACATACGATTTAAACGTTTAAACATACTCTTTAGACAAAAATTAAATTAAATTCATAGTACAGGACGAAACGCCTTCATTAAAAACAAAAACAAAATTTGTTTTTGCACTTGGGGAAAAATTGAGGGGAAAAGAAGGTTGAAAATACACCGAAAACTCCAAACAGAAGAATAAAAATATTTGAACATCTTGCCCTATGTTTAGATTTCGAAATTTGGTACAGTTTAACACAGAAAATTCGAAAAATTCGGAGACATCGAAAGAATTTATCAAATATCGTCTTGACAATTTTTTTATGCTAGAATATCTAAAATCTGTTGTTGTAAAAATATATAAATAACCATAAATTATGCGTGAACGGTTTTAAAGAGCTCCATATAATTATTTAATTAAAAACTAAATATCTGTCGCATTCCATTATCAGTAGGTTAAGGAGAAGACATTTCAAAAATTCTTTCAATACTCCGAAGTTCTGGGTTAAACTGTAAAAAAATATTCGTAAGGAAAATGTCAAAAAGTTAAAACTTTTTGTTGTGAATATTTAGATCAATCTTTTGTCGTCACAAGATGAAATGAATCCCTCTTGGAAACTCTATGGTCGAACCCCTAAGGGGACAAATAAAATTGAGGAAATCACTCTTCCCTGAAATTTACAATTTGTCACTGTGAATTTCGAGATCAAACGTTCTAGATAAGTGTCTAGAAAGCGTTTAGACAAGTCCAGAAAAGTCTTGATTTCTGATAATGTTCTAAATCCCTAACCTTGAATAAATTCCTCTACAGGCCTCTACGCCCTTCTCGCGAGTTCGTTCAAGAAGCAGGACACGCAGCTCACCACAGTTTTCTTTATTGATTTATCAATCAATCAATCAATCAATCAATCAATCAATCAGTCAACAAACAAGTCAACAAATCAGTTATCAGATCATCCAATCAACAAATCAGCCAATGAATTAATTAGTCAATCAATCAATCAATCATTTAACCAATTAATCAATCATTCGATCAAAAACCCGATCAGTCAATTAATCTACAATCCGTCAATCAAAAACCCAAAATCATTTCAAAGTCATTTAATCTACAATCAGTCAATCAATCATCTAAAAAGTAAGTCAATCAACCAATCAATCAATCGATCAATCTGAATTCTCAAGTCTTCCATCATTCATGAACTCTGTTTAAAATCAATCTAATCCATCTCTATTAATAAGTTCTACCTTGAACTGCTGCATCTTGAAGTTGAATATAAGCATCTTCTGCCCTCCCTGTCTTGTTCATCAGGGTGATGAATCCTGTCCACAACTTCTCCTTCGTCTCAACCTTCATAACAGAAGAAAATCATCTTAAAAATTGAATAGTCTAGCTGATCCAGGAAATTGTGAAAAGTTGTTTGAGAATTTTTTTTATATCTTTCATTTCTTCTACCCCTCACCCCCTACCCCTACACTACTTTAGATCTATCGGTCAACTATTCATGTTTCGTAACTCCTCCCTCCATCCATCCCTCTACAATATCTTGTTTCATTTGGCAGTTCGAAACTAGATTCTCATACTTAAGGTTGACCGATAATTATTTCAATTTCTTTTCTCAAAAATACTTTGTATTTTAATTAAATTTTGTTTGTAATAATTGCTTATTAAATATCTGTATTATTATTGGTCAAAACTGTCCTGACTGATGATGATGTAAAAAACATCGAAATTTATTTCCTACTTTGAAGTTGTGTATTCTACAGATAGAGAACGCTTTAACCAATTCGGACTTTTACATTTCTTTAAGAATTTTGTCTTGAAATCCCGGCCCGTTGTGCACAACGATTCCTATTGGGTTTTTTATTTTATTTCATTCATAAATAAATATTATTTCCGACGCTAAACTTTGGATTTCATGGATTTCAACTTGATATGGTTCCCTACCTTGACAGCAGCCCGAGCAGCCTGGAGACTGTTCTTATACTCATCTCCCCCTGTCCTCAAGTCAAGGCCAAGCTTCAACAACCAGAAATCAACCTCGCCCGGAAACCTACAGTGCGGTTTGAAGAAAGAAAGAATTGAAATAAAAAGAAAATAAAAATCTAAAAATCTCAATAGGTTGTGAAAAAATTTATTAATAATAAAATTTTTAGGTAGTTAACAGGCCCAAAAATCATATATTTCCAAGCGAGAGAAAAAAACCGAATATTCTCANAATAAAAATAACGGCTAATATGTTTACCTGCGAAGAGCATCTTCAGTCAGAGATTTCAACTCGTCCTCGTTCCCCTCAACCTTGATGAGACGCAGCCAGAACCCGTATTCTTCCACATCCAGGAGTTCATTCTTCTGTCCAAACTTCAGCAGCTTCAGCACTTCGCTCATTATTAGCCTGAAGCAGCTGGGAGCAGTGAGGGGGAGCTCATTGAGGGTTGAGAAGGCGAGATGGAAGAGCTCCTGGGACGGTTTCTCCTCCAGGCTGTTTGTGTAGAGAGTGCAGCACTGCCTGATTCTATCCGCCATCTTTCCGCCCTCAATTGACAATATGAGTAATTATTTACACGCTAGCTTCAGGGGTGTATATTTTTTAAAATTACCCCCCTCACAGTGCATGGGGGGGGAATTGTTTTGTAGATCTAGGAGAAAAATTGAAAAATTGGACATCAAAATGCAAGTTTTATCACCCTTTTTGATCCTTTTAACACGAAAATGTTTTCAATTTCCCATAAAAAATAATTTACTTTCCCCAATTCAGCGAAAAAAAACGTACAATAATTTTTTTAAATACACCCTTGACTAGCTAGGAACCCCAGCTTTGTCTGCTAATCTTTCTCTATGAAAGTCAACCCACTCAAACGTAGAACTTTATCTACAAAATTCTTGATACTTTTTCAATTGGACCAATACTCATTTTTTGTTGTTTCAAAATTTTAGGTAGCTATTTTTCTAGAAAGGAAATAGTTTTTCTTCAATTTTGAGAGAATTTTTATCCCGCATTTTTACTCTCAATTTCATGGTAATTTATTTGTTCCGAGACAAAATAAGTGACATTTTATACCGACAAAGTAGGTTTCCCATTTTATTTCGCGGATTTAAATAAAAAAATCGAACATTTCCTTAAACTTGAATAAAATAAATTTAGATATCCAACTGTATTGTGTTATCATTATGTCTTTTGTTGTGATTAATACTTTTTTATTTGTCTTCGGTTTAAACTCAAGATTTTTAATCCCTTACTTCGTTCGTGATTAAAAATATTTTTAAACCTTAAAACAAACAAAAAACAAAAAATTCCTGCCAAAAAACATATTGTCCCGCATGAAAACGCAAGACAATTACATAAATAGATATTATTTACCTTCTCTAGGCACATTCTAGCCTTGGTATCCAGGGTGACAGGATGTTGGCTGAAGGTTTGCTCCAGGATATTGAGGATATTCTGCTGGACTGGGAGGGTCCCAGGGAACTGACGAACTGTCACCAGCAGGGAAACCGCAAACTCAGGTTCAGGGATGGATACAAGGGCAGCCTGGACAAACAAAAAGTTTCTAGAGCTGACAACTTATATAAACTAAACCCATGATAAAAAGCCCAACCCTGGAGTTCAACGTAACATAGTCTGCAGGACATGGTACTTTGAGTGAAGGTTGAATGATAATAATAATATTAAGTACCTCAAGAACAAGATTGACAAGTCCAAAGTTGAGAATTTTATCATCAACCTCATCCTTCATCTTGTCTTTCCGCTCTTTTTTCTCCCTTTTCTTCTTTTCTTTTTCTAACTTCTCAATCTCATCCTCTGAATCATCATCATTCTCCTCATCCTCCTTCTCATCGTCATCGACATTCTTCTCTTCTTCTTTCGTCACTTTTTCGTCCTTCTCAAGACTTAGGACCTTCTGCCTGGCGCGAAGTTTTTCCACGAACAGTAGTTCAAACTTTATATACTCCCTGAATGCATGTATATAATTTATAATCTAATTACAAATTCTATTTTAAATACTGTTTAATTGATTTTTAATTTTCACTGATTTATTTTTGTTAACAATAAAAAATTGACACTGATCGATCCGGGCAAGAAGCTTTATTTATTTACAGGGTCATAAACTTTTATTTCTGGCAAAAAAAATAGTTGTAGATGTTTACAGCTAGTATAAACCCTGAAATCCTGGAGGAGAATCTGGCGACCGTTTTCAGCCGCTCCGTTTTCAAACTCATACTTAGCAGCAGCTATCCACAGCTTAGGGTTGTTATTGTGCACCTGAAGCAAATATAATAAAAGAGGGGACTATCAATCAATCAATCAATAGTGTTTCATTTTAAACCATCCCACTTTTACAAGGGACCGTCAACACAAAGCAAATATTTCCATTTCCCTGATCATTTCTTTTTTATATATAAGATTAAATCCAACAAGATAAAAATCTGATGTAGTGCCGATACCTGAAGAAGTCTTAGATTAGTTTTGCTGACAGAACTTTTCCATTTCATCTAAGAACAAAGGAATAAATTAGACATAAGAATCTATGTAAAATTAAATCTCCGATTGACGATTCTTAAGTTGGCGCGTAAAGTCCATCAAATTAGTTCAACTCAACAATTTTTAATATGTAAATAATTTTCTGTTTTGATTAACTAATAAATTGATTATATATTTCAAACCATTTATCGATTAAACGGTAAAAAAACTATTCGATGAACAAATCAATCAATCAATATCAATCAATCTATCAATCAATAAATCAATTCACTAACCAATCAATCAATCAATTAATCAGTTTATTAACTAACCAATCAATCAATCAATCTATTTATCACTCAAACGATCAATCAATCGTTTAATAACCAATCAATCAAGCAAATAGTGACACCGTAGAACAAATAAATCATAAATTTAAATTCTTTGTTAATCGTATAGTTACTCTGATCTCTGATCATTCAATCAACTGATCACAATTTCTTTTATGAGCACTGCTTATATTTATACCTTATTCAACCAATCAATATACGAGAGCCATATTTTTGTGTCAGATTGCCATCTTAAAACATTGACGAAAACTTGAACAAACATGACTTCATTCTTTTCTTAATTTTAATTAATTTTATTGCAGTTTTACAAAACTATAGTCCCAATATATGATACTTGATATAATATTCAATTTTAGGGACTGTAGAGTGTAAAGTGAAGACGTAATTTCAAGTGAACCTCTAGTCGAAGTGTGGCGTGTCCGATTCACAACAGTACCCTTTAACCCTTCATCTGAGCAACAATGAGGAAAGATTTCGTCGTTTTTCTGTTATAAAAAGTGTTGAATTCTGACTAATATTTCTTTGTATCTGCTCATTTAAATTTGCTAATCACATGTTACAGAAAACCTCAATTTTCAATAAAATTTATCAGATTGAATTTGATCGGACAAAATCTTTGAGGGTAAAACATGCAACTCTATGGAGGGTCACCTAAAATTACACACAGTCCCATCATTGAAGATTTGGGTAATAATAATGAACAAAAAATAAATTATTATCAATGTTCCTGTGACAAAGTATTTTGTAAAGCTTGTTTATTCTCGTCTTAATTCCGTTCTCAATGTGTCCTAAATATAATTCAGGGATGAAAAATGATTTTTTGATTTATATTTACCCTCTCGAAGAAAAGGTTTAACTAGGTCCAGATGACAGTTAAATCTATTCTCTAATGTGCCCGCTGGAGCATTAGAGAAGAAGTTTAACTAACTCTAAGCCCATGACTTAAGACAAACTCACTCAAGTTAAACTGTTTATCTATTCATTGAATGAACCCAACCTCTCAGTTGGGAATTAATGATTATCTTTGCTTCAGATTTGGTTCCAGATAATCTCGGGACTCAAGAGAAGTTGAACCAGCATTGGCTAGTTCAACTAACTTTATATCGATCTTAAAATCCGAATTCCGTGGAATTCTTATTCTTTCACACTTTTCTTTATTCTGGACCATTTTTCTTTTTTCTTCACAATATTTCTTTTTATCTTGACAATTTTTCTTTTCACTTGACAAATTTTTTTTTTCTAGATCTTTTTCTAGACAACTTCTCTTTTTCCTTGACAAAATTTCTAAACATTCTTTTCTTATTTTCTTATTTCTTCAAAATCCAAAAATGTTTCATTTTAAAGCCTTAATTTACCTTTTTTATGATGGTATCCAATTTCGTCTCTTCTGAGTTGAATTAAGTTCATTAGATTAGTCTCGTACTCGATATATCCGAAAAAATCTTCCTGAAATATTGTTCCTCTTAAATTTTTTTTTGAATTTCCAGAAAAAAGCGGAATATTTATCAAATCTAATAATAGTCGTTAATAACTTAGTAATGTTTAACTGTTTTTGATGTTCAGGACTAGTACCCTAAACCCTAAATTTACTTATCAATGCATATATTACTTCTCAGATTTCTTGAAAAGAAGAGATAAAATTTCTGAATAATAAATATCTACCGACGTATCTAATTTGAATTTAACAAAGACGAATTTCATTTCGCCTTATTCTAATTATCAATGTCCACAGATAGAAACTTTAGTTGCTGAGAGTCCAGAAAAAAAACAATCTATAATATTCAATTAATTTCACAATACTTGTTCTAAAGGAGAATAACGAATGGTATTCTAAAAATGAATTTCCACTTGGATTTGGTTGTATAATAAGGTTATCTACTCTGGATGCGCTCCGATGTAGGTAAAGACGACCTTTACGGCAATGGACACTAAATCCTCATATGACGTCACTGCTTATTTTAAAGAATAATAAATTTTGCGACTCACTAAATATAAACGAAATCAAAAATTAAAAACTTGATTTATAATTGATTTTCTTTTTTTCAAAATTGTTAGCACAAACAATATTTGTTAAATGTGACGATTGTTAGTTAAGTATCAGTTACGTCATATAAAGAATAAGAGTATCCATTGCAAAAAAGACGACATTTACATGCTTAGAAACGCATCCAGAGTACCTATCCTTATATACAACCTTGCTTTGACCTCTGTTTCACCTTTTTCTTAGTTCTCTTCTGTATCTTGTATTCGAAATGTTTCCTCTTCTTAATGAGCTCCCTCACCTCGGGACCAGAGAGCAGTCCAACCCTCTCCAGCTCCTCCACCTAGCAAATATTTCTTTGTAACATTTTTTTTAATTAACCGAACATGATGGATGATACACGAAAAACAAAAAAAAATGGAGATTTAGAAAAACAGAAATGTCATCTCTTATTTATAAAATTTTGTTAAAATTCAAACTAAAAAATCAATGTTAAAAAATACTTTGCTATTCTTTCAACCCTGGGGATAAAAAGGGGAAACTGCCAGGTCGAAAACAGGGTGGAATGGTGATGGATTTTGCAACTAAATGGTTGGCGCCAGCAGCCGCCCTCTCCTAGTTTCATAACAAATCATCCCTTACCTCCGGTATCATCTCCTCCATCCTCTGCTCCACGTACTCCGCCATATTTAATATTTATCTGAAACGAATAAAAATTGTAAATTTTTGGAAAAACCGGGATGAGTGTCACAGACGAGGTCGAATTAAATAACAATTAAATATAGATTACAGAACAAACAACGATGTAATGTATAAAGTTGTAAACATAATAGGTAAAAAGTTGGTTTGGTAAAACATGAATCACATTTAATTAACTTGAAAAAGCGGTAAATGCATTGGATAAATCTGAAAGGAAACTAAATATAAAACTGCTGTCAGGGCATGGCACAATATATCCATATGAATGATGTTGATAAGTTAGTTCAGAGTTCAAAACCTTTTTAACACGGGTTTCATTCTCCCCTCGCGCGGTTCAATTTAGGTTGAAATATAATTATTAATTATACAGCCAAACCTTTTCTTTTAATTATTTCTTAATAATCTTTTGGTGGATTTCCAGTAAAGCCACTATTTGTTCTAGTTTACGATGTGGATATAAAGTTCAGTATATTGGCTATTTGGATATTAGCTATCGCAATCAACGATTTCAAAATAAAGAAAATTATCAACATAATTTAGAGAACATTTCAATAAGTAATCTATGTTAAGTAAACATAATTTAGAGAACATTTCAATAAGTAATCTATGTTAAGTAAACATAATTTAGAGAACATTTCACCAGGTAATGTTAGTTAAGTCCAGATCTGTAACCTATAGCATACCATATTTTGTGTTGAGACAATATTGCCAAATATCAACCAAAACAAAACTAAACTAATGAAAAAATAAGATTATCAAAAATCTATAATTTCTGAATGAATCATCAAGTGTCAGCAGGAAAATAACGAAAAAAGGAGAAAAAAATCATCAATTTTTTCTTTTGTTTAAAAAATCAGTAAATATTGGAGAAATGTTGACCTGGATCCTTATCCATTTTTTATGAGGGCGGATCCAGGATCAGGTCCGCATCAAAATCAAATGGACACTAAGAATTAATGATGATAATAAAAATAATAATTTCACAATAAATCTTTAATCCTTCGAAATCTGATTTGAGCTCCCTTTCATTATTGAAGAACTACAGTGATTACTAGAGAGACTCGGAACTAATCTACAATTAGTTAGACGACTTTACGATAGAATTTTACAAATATGATTGGAAAAACAAAAAAATAGACCTAGTCCTGCCAATTCCAAAATGGGGTCTGCCTTAATTGTACGTTTAAAATTACGAGAAATATATATGTAAAGTCGTCTGATTAACTGTGAATTAATTCCGGGTCTTTCTGGTAATGACGATATGTAAAACTTAAAACGAGTCTATTGACTAGATTTAGGGGTTATTAAAGCCAATTCAACTTCTGCTGCTTTTGACGACTTGAGGTTTGCTAGGTCAGATTCAGGGTTGATTTTGATGATAGGGTTGAGAGGGAGCTCCTCCTCCTCTTTAGGGTCTAAGGCAAGTTCAAGGTTGGTTTTCTCCAGATCTCGTCCTAGTATACTGGTACTGACAAACAGAATAGTGCAACCTACAAATATTTAAGGGACTGTGAGCGTAATTTCAAGCGACCCTACATGCAAAGATATCGATGTTTTTGTTTCTTTAAATGTTTATTTTGCAGTTTGTTTGTGAGAGTGACTTGTGCGCATTCCATGTTTATAAGAAGCAAAAGAGAAACTCACATAAACAATTAATCTTCCAGTCAGAACTCATGGGTATTTTCCAAATTTTAAGGTTTCAAGGATACTGTTGAAATTCGGGCATTGCCATGGAGGGTCACTTAAAATTACACTTACAGTCCCTATAAGAAAGATGGAATGGTAAAATAAGTTCTTTATTCAATAATTTCTATTTTAAAGCTTTTTTCATATAAAACTTATGTTTACCTGTAGATATTCCCAACATGATATACATGAAACTCATTGGATATTTCTCTACAGTTTGTCCGACCATTACAGGGAATATTTTAGCTCCTACAATTTAGATTTGTACAACATGGTCGATAATAAAAACAAAATCAGACAATAGAGAACTTCCGAGTACGATGAAAATTTGCAACTTGATAATTAACAATTTAAAACTAAACTTCGTTTTAGAAAGGGGCGCAAAACGCCTTTTCTAAGTATGCTAAACATACTAATTTTATGTTTCTTAGTACAGCTATTTAGATGGATGAGTTCAATTTGAATAGTCAGGAACAGTCTATTTAAATCTGCTCGGACCGACGCGCGCAAAGAGAAGCGGACTGACGAGCGCGCAGCATGAAGCTCTGAAGCAGTGAAGAAGACTTCACTCCCACTTTGACCATCAACTTATAAAGACCTAATCTGTGGGGCGTCCTGGATTTTATTATCATTACTATTCAATATTATTTCATTTCAGAGTAAATTAAATTGAGGGTTCATCGAGTCTTGAGCACTACATCACTTCAGACCTTAAAGCCTAGAAAAATAGAATGAATAAAAAATTACCCAGTGCAGCTGATATAGTCATGACAGCTCCAATTCTATTTGTTATTTCCATCCTTTTCTCCAACCACAGTAAACCTAAACATGAGTTTAGAACGATAAGATTTCAGTAATCAATACTCGGTACTAATCCGTAATGTGAATTCAAATTTACCAAATCCTTCCAAAGATACAATTTGGCCAATTTAAACACGATTAAAGGAATGTACGCGTAATTTTAAGTAACACTCTATGCAAAGATGGCCATGCCCGATTCACAAAGATACCCTGTAGAAAAAAGAAACAATAAAAAATCTGAAAAGAAACCCGACATGGTCAAGTTCGAATTAGATGTCAATGCCAACACTTTCAAACCTGATTATTCACAATTGTGGGTTGTCTACTAAAGTGATGGTCGCATTTCTGCTGCGGGAAAACAAATGGAAATTTACAGCAACCAGTAAAATGACAATATCTTCCACATTATTGATTAGAACAGGTTTTCAAGTGTACCGTTGTGAATCGGGCATTGCCATCTTAGCATGGAGGGTCACTTGAAATGACGCTTACAGTCCCTTTAACACTAATTTTACAGTGCACAAAATGTTTTAAATAGATTGGATGTTGAAGCCAACATAATTTTCAAGATCCGATAATTGCTTTTTTTTCACTAGTTTGCATATTGTGAAAATTTAGCAACTCTACCTGTTGCAAAAATCGAGGCCATCCCTATCCCCATAACTGCAGTGCAGGTGTACAGAAGGTAAACATATGTTTCAGCAAAAACGCTTAGGAACACAGATCCAACTAGAATATAATTTATAGATAACTTAATTATATTAGGTTAGATATATAGATTGCTGCTGTATCTACAGTCTACACATAGGAAACAGGAGGAGAGAACGATAATCTCACATACCTACACATTGGAAACAGGAGAACATAACTATCTCAAGTTTGATATAGATTACTGCTAGGTTTATCTATGAAACATAAGTTTTATCTACACACGTACATTGGAAACAGGAGAACATAAGAATCTCAGGTTTTGCATAGATTGTTGCTGTTTAACGACACAGAGGAAACAGGAGAACATAATAATCTCAGGTTTGATATAGATTGCTGCTGTTTACCTACACATAGGAAACAGGAGGAGAACATAATTATCTCAGATTTGATATAGATTGTTGCCGTTTCACTACACATAGGAAACAGAAGAACAAAATAATCTCAGGTTTAATATAGATTGCTACTGTTTACTGTTTACCTACACATAGAAAACAGGTAGAAAACCGGAGGAGATCATAACAATCTCAGTTTGATAACGATTGCTACTATTTACCTATACACGGAAACAGGAGGAAAACATAATAATCTCAAGTTAAATGTAGATTGCTGCTGTTTTTCTACACATAGGAAACAGGAGGAGAACATAATAATCTCAAGTTTAATAACTATTGCTACTGTTTACCTACACATAGGAAACAGGAGGAGAACATGATAATCTCAGGTTTAATGTAAATTGCTGCTGGAATAGCTACTCCCCGCATACAAGCAAAGGATCCCCAGAATACAGCAGTAAGGTAGGAACCCTCTCCTCGGCTTAAACCTGAAAGGGAAGCGTAATTTTAAGTGACCCTACATGCAGAGATAGCACTGACCGATTTACAGCGGTATCGTTGAAACCTTAATCTGATCGAAAATGTGGAGGATATTGTCGTTTTTCTCACTCGAAAAGTGTTTATTCCTGTGAATTTCTCCATTATTTCCTTAAAGCAAGAAATGTGCAAGTCACTTTTGTAGAGAAACCACAAATAAAATTAACATTTTAAATAAACAAAACTATGCATTCTTAATTTAAACTTGATCAGACAAAGCTTTAATGGTACCGTTGTAAATTGGGCATTGCCATCTTTGTACAAAGGGTCACTTGAAATTACAAAATTATTTTTGATTCATATTTCTTTTGAGAAATTACATCACATTTGTTTTGTGTGGCCAAAAAAACAGGGCCCTCCTCAAACATTTAATTTAATATTGAGTGCTTTTTTAATAGTTATACATTTTTTGGTATAATTTTCTTATTATTTTTAACCGACAAAATATTTTCAAGAAATTATTTCAAACACAAATATTAACTGAGCGTCTGACAAACAATTGAAAATTATTTTTTTTTAATTAACAAAATACTGAAATTTTTTTATTTCAAAATTTTTCAAGACAAGCCTTTGGAATATTTAACAAGATTTTCTGAGGACTTGACTACAAGCTGTTTTGAAATATAGATAACAAATTACCTAGCTTGCATTTGACCGCAAATGTTGTGAGAAATGTTCCAAAGGCAACTTCTAATCCAACATAGAAGAAGAAGAAAATCATAAGAATGACCAAAACTAGCATTTTTCTGCCTACAGGCGAGGACTGTTTATCAGATTGCTTTTCTTCTTCCTTCAAATCAGCATCAACCGGATTTTCCATATCCATAAATTGGTAGAAGAAAAACCCTGGGAAAAGATTCAAATAGATGGTATACTTTAAAAAAATGTCCTTAAAATTTTTATGTTCAATGTTTATGATCATATTTTTTAGTTTTTACCTAAGCTAATACTAGAAGTAAAGAGTCCGATAAGCGGATAGAGAGTTTTTATTGTCAAACTGTTTCCAATCAAATCCAGATCCATTTCTGAAGATCCATTGTAGGAGATATACGTGGCAAGATCAGAAAGCCCCTCCATCTTTGTGAATGCAGACCTATTGGAGTTTTCAGATGTTGTAGAATTTACAAAAGAAGTAAAGTTTTCAGTAACAGTCGCGTTCTCATTCTCCAAAACTTCTTCAACATTGCTCAGAAAAGGTTTAGCTGAAATGAAGGCCGTTGATCATAAATATTGATTTGTTTGTTTAATCTGAATATGTAACTTTTTTCTGTTTGTTTGTTTGTGTTCTTATAAACTCTAAACATTTGAACAGATCGGACCCTTATTGCTGAAATTTTAAAAAAATTACATTCCACAAATTGTGATTTAATTTTTCAGAAACTCCACGAATAAAAACAGCACAAAAATAGTCTTTTGATAAATATACAGAAAAACTCTGTAAGCATGAAAACTGAAAAGCAACTTTTAAGAAGAATTATTGCGAATGGTCCTGACGGCCAATTTAATAAATTCTCACCTATAACAGGGGCTATGAACGCTCCGACTCCAAACATAAAATGTAGAGTATGCATGTAAGGTCCTGATTCCCTCCCTTTCCAAATATTTAGCAGTAAGACCTGAGCTCCTAAACAATTCTTAATTGTAAAAGATATTATTATTATTAAGGGCGTACACTGGGAGGGAGCAAGGGGGTCACATTTTTCTTTTTTCTTCACAATATTTCTTTTTATCTTGACAATTTTTCTTTTCACTTGACAAATTTTTTTTTTCTAGATCTTTTTCTAGACAACTTCTCTTTTTCCTTGACAAAATTTCTAAACATTCTTTTAGAAATATATATATATATATATGTTGAGAGTATTGAATATTTGAAATTATTCAAAATAAATATTTAATTAAAAAAATTGCAAAGCTATTGTTTGCAATTTTGACTTTTAACAAATTAAATGGGTTTCAATGGCAGAAAATTGTTCATTGAGAATAATCTTGACAAACGGTTTTTTTTCTAAGTAAATTAATTCAGAGAGAGCTTAGAGAGCATTTAATTTGTGGAGCATATTGAAGAACTGGAGGGACTGTCTTCATAATTTAAACTAACCCTCAAATTTTCGATTCACAAGAGTACCTTTTAAACCTTTGTATGAGCAAAAAAAACCATAAGATATCCTTTTGAGGTTTCTTTGCGAGTTAATAAAGAAGAGACAAGGAAGAAAATTGACATAATTGATCCTATTAAAGATAGAAAAACATCTTCCTCTACTCAGATAAATGGCGTGTCAGTTAACCGCCCCTCAAAAACAATTTATTAGTTGAAACGAAAATCAAACCTGCATCTAATGCTCCACCACAAAATCCACTAAAAAATCCTAGACAGTATAGAGTAACCAGATTCTGAGAATACGGAATAGAAGATGTGAAGAGTCCCAGCCCTGCCACCAACAACCCAATTATAAGGTAGCGTAACCTAAATTTTTTTTTTAATAGGTTTTGGGAAGATTTAATTTTATAGGTCGGAACTTTTGTATGTCACGTGCAATAATACATATTTTTTAAATCTAAATTACGAGCTTTTAACAATCTTTGAAAGTCTGATCAATTAAATCCACCAAAAGTCGATGAGAGATGTTGGTTATTTGAGTCAGCTGTTTTAAACGGATTAACTATGCTTTAGATCAAAAGTTTAAGATGTTGTTTCATTCGTTCACGGATTTTAACAAATTTTTTCGAATATTTCTTAAATATTTTTTTTCACAATTTCAGGGGATATTAGTTCCAAAACTAACACTTGGCCCATTTCTAACTCTGAGTGTTAGAAATGGGCCAAATCTGCAAAGCTATATTTTTCAAGAGTATATATATTAAATCCAAGCCGAGTTGAACAAAATTACACCATATTTCTATAAAAAATGGCTATAACTATATATTAAAACAAAAAATGTCAATTTTAAACTAATAATAAGGTGTGAGAATTAGTTTTTGATGATTCTTGATTTCAATTTCGAACATATCCCTATTTTGAAACAATTACCGGATTTCAGCTCATGATGCGTTTTCGAAACATATCCTGGTTTTGAGACAATTACCGTAATTTATATCAATGTCAATTTTCAAGTATTTACGCACTTACCAACCAAGACAAGATTTTTTTATAAGGTAAAATATAAACAAAATAGAAAATAATGACAACTGTTCTTTTAAAATTTAAAATTTATTACAGCATTTAGAATTCAAAATATTAATATCATTTGTTCTTACAATATAGATTTAACTAGAAATGCGGAAAACTGTTTGTTTAAAATTCTTGAAAATAAATCATCGATATTCTCTAATTTAACAGATAAAATATGGAAACTTAGATTCTAGAAATAATTCAGAAGTTAATTTAGTATTCATAAGATAATTTTTGTATTCAGTGATTTATTATATAAGTTATGAAAGTGAGTTTTGTTTAGAATTGTGGTATATACTGCAAAACGGGAAAATGGGTTTTGTCTCGAAAACGCGACAATGTTTCAAATTCAGGTTATGTTCGAAAATGGAAAATCTAAGATTGTCTTGAAAACGGTCAAGAGTTTAAATATAAAAATAACTCCTATAATAATTTTGATTTTAAAAAATAGTTTAAAATTGGGAATTGTTGCCCTTGTCATGTTTGATAAAATGTTGGTTATAGTTTTTATTATCGACTTTTACTCTGGAGTTTGGCCGGGATCCTAAAAACCCAGTCTTTCAATATGTCCCCATTTCTAAGACTCAGTGTTAGAAATGGTCCAAGTGTTAGTTTTGGAACTAATGTCCCCTAATTAAAATATAAATAAATTTAAATTTTATTTTTTAAGTCTGCAATGCCAAACCTGACAAATCTGTCCATAAGTAGTCCCAATACAAAGCATCCAGACATAGTTCCAATAGATCCCAGCATAAATAAGAAAGATATCTCTCCAATGGTGGAATCCAGTAAGTCCTTAAATATGTAGATTGTAGAATACATGTAAATGCAACCTAATTATAATAAATTATGAACGGAGGCTCTTTGAATCGATTACATAATCAAGTAATTACATTTAATCTAGAAAAGGTAATGTTATTCTAATTTTCTATTTTTAATTCATTACCCTTAGATCTAGAAGAGAAGGACCATTGATGACAGAGCAAATACCAAGGGCAAGGAAGGATGCTGAAAAGTTGGTTTCAATTATCTTTAAAGCTTTAGATGTTAACTTATAATTCTATTCAGATTTATTTTCGAATTGGAGATTTCCCAAGGATCTCTAAAACTTGCCTATTGCAGGTAAAGTCCTGAGGAGAAGATGAAAAGGGTAAACTTCCATTTTTTCTTCACCTGCTTCCATTCTTGATTAATCTAAATACGAGTTTGAGTTAAGGTTTTGCATAAAAAAACTTTTGTTTACATACCCATTTATTTGAAAAGATGAAAACACAATTACTAATTCTATTAAAGAAAAAAGTGTCAGAAGATCTTTATTAGTCAATTAGGAGATAGAATTCTTTTTTTTAAATAAGAAGTGAAAATTTTCTTATCTCAAGTCCAATTTAGAGTTGGATTTTGTATTGAGTTTTAGGTCATAATTGATTAATTGTTAAATCGTATCAATAAAAACTTACCAAAAAACTGAGTCTTACTTGGGAAGTATGAACTGGAGTATTTCTTAATTTCTTAAAATATTCTGAAAAACAGAGAATATTTGAGGAAAATAACATTTACAAAACACAACAATATGCAAAATTTTAATTTTCACTTAAATGTCTCCTGCTATTTCTTAGCCTTAAAGAGATAGTTTTCAAACTCTTAAGTTTTTGAGTTCACTAGAACATTACATTCCTGAATGTCCTCTCATCATTCCATAGTCATTTCCACCACCAATACCTACTCCTCTACCCATGCTTCCACTACCCCCAATTCCACTGCCTCCCATTCCGCTGCCTCCCATTCCACCGCCTCCCATTCCACCGCCTCCCATTCCACCGCCTCCCATTCCACCGCCTCCCATTCCACCGCCTCCCATTCCACCTCCTCCCATTCCACTGCCTCCCATTCCACTGCCTCCCATTCGACTACCTCCCATTCCTCCACCACTCATTCCATTGCCTCCCATTCCACCACCACTACCAAAAAGATTGGCATAATAACCACCAAGATTACCCTCTCCTCCTCCCCCTGTTCCCATTCCTCCAACACTCCCCGAGTTACCGACTTTTCCGATATTGTTCAGAAGATTAGGTCCAGATTTTACTAAACTGTCAATAGCCTGCTGTAGAGCAGGATTAAGAACTGGAGAAGGTTTATTCTGAGCTGAGAGAATACTGCTCTTTTTGTTGAGAATTTCAATAACTTTTGTCTGTATTTCCTCCTGCTTAGCTTTCATTGCTGGATCCTGAATTAATATTTAACTTACACAAAATTTTGAAAGTTACAATAGAGCTGGGTAACATTCCCTTTACGAAACAGCAAAACCCGTTAATTTCAATATCGTTAAGAACGAAAAGATGTGTTTCAAAATAAACGCGACTTTTAATAATTTGTTCAACTTAAAATTTCATGACACTTTAAGAAGATAAAAGTATATTTTTTATGGTATATAGGCGTTTTACATGTGTTTTGGTGTTGTAGAATATTGTTTTCAAATTTGTTTACGTCATTTTTACATAAAATAATTGTTAACTGATGGTATCGTTAACGATTTCTACAATATCTTCCATTAACATTGTTATTAAAATTAGGATCATTAACGAACAAAAACTTTGAAAACGGACGGAAAATACCGGATATGATCTGAACATTCTTATCTGAAGTACAAACCGCTACTATATAAGTAGTTTTTTAAACGATATTAACTAACTGATAACGAAAGTCTGATTGTGCCCAGTCCTAGGTTACGTTGGTATACTATTAATTCATATAACCAAACAGATCAGCAAGTACAATAGGTGGCAACAGAGAAATGGACAAATTATACACAACGTCACAAGTGTCAAATATGACAAGGAAAAAGAAATTATATCACATTAGTTGACATGTTTTCCAAGATCAAATAAAAAAGTATAAAAACAGAAAATTAAGAAAAAGTGAATTTGCACTTATTTTACTGTAAGATAAGCACTTTATTCTAAAATTATCACTATTATAAATAATTTTGACGGACACAAAAACTAAGTTGACACTTGTGACGTAAGAATACAGCTGTACTGAGAGTGTACAAACTCTACGAAGCCTAGAATCTATTTGCATACAACTACTGCTATATTCAAAGCAACATTTTTTCTTGATTCACCTGATTGGGCCCAACTGGAGGTACAAGTAGGTGAGCAGGAATGTTAGAACCATATTCATCTTTGAGAGTGCTTTCCCTTTTGCTAACTAGAAACTTAATCAGCTTATCATATTCCATGATGGACATGGGTCGATTGTCAGAGAGGAAACCAAGAATGGTTTTAACATCTTGTGGGAGGCCTAAATTTGGCTTTTCAATACTCATCTGAAAACAAAACTTTTTTAAATGTACAGGGGTTTATTTTCATCTTTAAAAACTTCATCCCTCCCCTCTGAAGAAAAAATTAGACAAACGAAAATATATCAAGAATTTTAAGGGGCAAAAAAGGAAAAGCTACCTTCATATAAAGAAGGAAAAGCTACCTTCTGGCAAAAAAGGAAAAACTACCTTCAGATAAAAAAGGAATAGCTACCTTCTGGTAAAAAAGGAAAAGCTACCTTCAGATAAAAAAGGAAAAGCTACCTTCAGATAAAAAAAGGAAAAGCTATCATCAGATAAAAAGGAAAAGCTACCTTCTGGTAAAAAGGGAAAAGCTACCTTCAGATAAAAAAGGAAAGCTACCTTCAGATAAAAAAGGAAAAGCTACCTTCAGATAAAAAAGGAAAAGCTACCTCCAGATAAAAAAGGAAAAGCTACCTCCAGATAAAAAAGGAAAAGCTATCATCAGATAAAAAAGGAAATGCTACCTTCAGATAAAAAAGGTAAAGCTACCTTCAGATAAAAAAGGAAAAGCTACATTCAAATAAAAAAGGAAAAGCTACCTTCAGATAAAAAAGGAAAAGTTTCCTTCAGATAAAAAAGGAAAAGTTACCTTTGGGTTTTCAATTAGTTTAGAGAAATTTTTCCCGATAAACGCTGTTGCTTCATCAACCGGCATATTTCTATGCTCTTGCTGCTCACCTTGCAGCACATTCACCGTCAACGATCTAAACGGCAGAGACCACTCAGTGATTTAGGTGTAATTTTGAACTGACTTGGAACTGAGAAAATGGGATTCAGTGATTTCAGTACTTAGCATTCGGATCCGCGTCCGAAGGGGCAAAATATCGACCAAGAACTGCAAAAGTCGAAATTTTTGTAAAAAAAACAGATGATCAAAAATTTCATAAATCTAATTGAGTAATAAAGTTTTTAAACAAAAATAAGTTTTGAAAAAATTGAAAATTCTTCTTTTGTTTTGACAAACAGTAAATCTAATCCGGGTTTAGATCAAAATTTTAAGTGCAGATCCAGGATACAGATCCAGATCAAGGATCCAGATCCAGATCCAGATCCAGGATCCAGATCCAGATCGACATCAAAATAAAATTGATCCTAATCGCACTGTTTAAGGATGATTTAACTGACTTTGTACTGAAGAAAATGGGTCATGCTGATTTTACTATGATTTTCTCTGCGCTCATTTTATTTCTTTTAGCAGCTTTATCATAATCTTTTTTTCCATTTTTTAAGAAAAATATATGGACGTCTATGTAATTATCATTAAAACACTAATAAACACGAAAAAAAAATTCAAATATTTAAAATTAATATTCATATTTTTTACCTTTTCTAATATTTTATATACATCTTTTTTATTTTATGCGTTCACTTCCTTGGTTAATTATAAAATATACTACCTTTACTTTTTTAATGTACCTTTTCATTTGTTTGAAAAAAAACAATATGAAAGACTTAGTAATCATTTCATTTTACAAAACAAAAAAACTGCTAGAAAAATGTATAAAAATAAAAATTATATTTTAATAAACCACGAAATTAAGTTATTTTCTTATCAGAGAAAACTATGTGAAGTATTTTCCTATTCAAATATATTTCATATTCACCTATGTACTTCGTTTTCAGGGGAGACACACACTGCAAACATAACTCCTCGCATAGCTATGTTTCCGAGAACCTTACCTAAAATGATAGAAAAATTTACAATTGTTATTTCAAAATTTTTACTTTTAATTTTGTTTTTGTTTCAAAGTTTTATTTTTTATTTTTAATAATTGTAATACTTTTTTTAATCTTTCATATCTCCCAACCCCCCTTGGTCTACCCCCTTTCACAACATCCTATTCTGTCGGTCAATCCAATCATGTTTCGTAACTCAACACCCTCCCCCCCCCGTCCTTCAAAACTAGCTTTTTGTTATGAAGGTTGATCAAAAGTTTGTTATATTTTTTTCTCAAAAATATTTCTTTTTATAATAATTTTAAAATGATTGCTTATTCAATGTTTAAAAACTTTATTGGTCAAAATTGTCGTAGGACTGACGATGATATAAAAAAAACATCGAAATAGAAAATAGATAGAGAACACTTCTAAAAAATTTACAGCACCAGAAATAGATTCTTAAAAATATTAATATTTTGATTGTTTAGGACTAAAATCTCTACAAAAAGTCTGCACAATTGGTCGAGCGATTTTTGGAATGAGCGATTGGTAAAAATCAGTATTTTTTAAAGACCACTTACCAATAGGAATATCCGGGTTTGGAAAAAGAACATCAACCTTGAGTCCCATTTTCCTCAACCGATCTTTAAAAAGGTTTAAATAAAATATTAAACTATTTAATAATTCTCTTCAATTAAGATAATTTATAAATGTGAAAGTATTGGTAAAAGAAAAGTTGAAAATTATCGTTGAATATTTTATTCAAATTCCTTCGATAAACTCTGCATAGTTTCTGGTTATTTTAGTCAAGCAGATAATTTCCACGTCGTTAACCGGGGCAGGGGCAGCAGTTCCTCCACCCAGCGGCGGCGGCGGTCCTCTGTTCGGATATTCTCAAAATTTGGGTGATCCTTTCCAGCTGACCCGTCACAAGATTTTACGTTTAAGGCGTTCAAATTCCAGGGAAATTATGTTCGTTCTTTAAATCCGCTACTGAGAACTATATGTATATGAACACATATATACAATATCTTAAAAAGAATTTATTCCCAGGAATATTATTTTAATTAATAAGAACAACTATTTGAACTTCGGAGACTAAGATATACCACTAAAGAGAAGTGATTCATCTTAGTCGAAGTACTTTAACTACTACTCCCATCATTAAATCTGGTCTTGAAGCAATTCTCTTAAACAAAATTCGTATTACTGAAAGATAAAACTCATTTTAACTTTAAAAATAATTTTCCACCATCTTCATTGAGACTAAAAGTTTGAATATTTTCAATATTTTTGATAATTTCCTGTTGTTTGGTCCTCCGTATCCAGGTCCTGTTCGACCCCGCTCACTCTCCCAGGGTCCACCTCGCGACCGGTCATGGTACCTGTAAACAGAATATTTAGTTCTTTTACGCGATTTTCTTTTAAATTTCAAGCGTCTCCTGGAGGATCTTATTTGCATACAATATACAGGCAAAAAAAAGAAAATGATTTTTGATGATCTGGAAGAAAATATGAAAATTGGATCAAAAACAAATAAATTGATTTTCCCTAACGCAGCGAATAAAACCTTTAAAAAAAACATACCTAATTTCTGCGGGGGGGGGGAATATTTCAAAATAGGGGGAATTATTTATCAAACAAATATACACCCCTGATATTACTTGAATTCAGATGATATCAAAATAATTTTACCTGTCTCTATCATTCTGATCTCCATAATCATCCCGCCCTCTCCCTCCGTGTCCCCCATCTCGTCCTCCATAACCAATATCACGACCTCCCGGTCCTAAATCCCGACCTGGTCCCAAATCTGGCAGTCCACGCCCTGGTCCTAAGTCTCTGTTTCTATTTTCAGCTTCAAGTTTTTTATCCTTTGCAAAGTTCACATTTATTTTTTTGCCCAAAAACTGGGTATTGTTCTCTTTCAAAACACAGGATCGGGCCCCCTCCTCGGTTTCAAACTGAACAAATGCATATCCCTTGTTTGTATTGTTTATATAAGTAACGACCCCATGAGGAGAAAATTTCTTGATTAATTCGTCCTCGGAAAACTCCGGTGGAAGTTGGCCGACGAAAACACGACTGCTAGGGGTCGTTAACGCCGTCATATTCACTCTGTAAAATGTAAAGTTACAATATAAATTATCAAGAACCCCCCCCCCCCCGTCATTTCTTACCCGCGACGCTGGGACAGACCAATTGGACTATCCGCAGCCTAAGGCATGACAACAGAGGTTAGACAAAAATATAGGCAAGGGGGCCGGGCGCTGCGGCAACATGACCAATTATATCCATGTGTCACATAATAGATCCATGTACAAAATTGATAGGATATGGGGGGTCCTTAAATCGTATACTAGGAAATTACCATTAATCCTTTCGGGCAGGCCCAAAAATGCTTGGATAAAGTAAGTAATGATAAAAATTGCGTAAAAGAGGATTTTGCATCAATACAAATCAATAATAATTTTGATTCACCTGTAGGTTCCGTCCTCGTGAACGATTTGTAGACCCCCCTCCCTTCTATCAATTTTGTACATGACGAAATTAGTAAATTAGTATATATTTAGTATTATTTAGGGTTAGGTTAAGACACTTTCTGGGCCGAGCGCTGCGGCTATGACAGGCCAGGGGGTCAATTATATCCAAGTCTAACATATAACATATAACATATATATGTACAGAATTGATAGGAGGGGGGGGGGCCTGGAGGGGTCAAAAATCGCTCTCTAGGAAATTACCCACCTGTACTTTAAACTATCAATAATAATCATAAACCGGTTTAAAATAACGTGCTTGCAAACAAACGAAAAAATCAAACCCTTACGGCCTTTAAACAGTAACTTTATACACTACGACGAAATCCAAAAAAAAACTTTTCAATATTCAAACAGATTTAGTAGACATGTTTGACATTTCACGTATAACGATACGAATAACAAAACTTATGATTGGTTCTGTGTATACGAACTACGAATTGAAAAAAATGAGAATGGGAATTGGTTGCGGCAGCCGGCAATTACGGCGTTGTTAAATTAGTTTAAGAGGTTTCGTGATTAGCGCTTGTAAAAAATAAGGGGCAATAGTTTTAAAATCATTAGGTTATAACAGAGTTTTGTTATTTTTAAATATCTCAATAACTAGAAAGAAAATTAACAAACAGATGTTGTTTTTTTAGAAACAACATTTTATGATAAAAATTTTTTTATATGTCTATTTATTACTAAAAGTTATTCACAAAAAAGCGCCAGCCATTCCAAAATAATTGTTGATAAAATCTATTAAACAAAGCTATTTAAAAAATATTATGCAAATGTTAAGGATAATATAGATCGACTACCGTGCTTAAATAATTAAATTAGTCCCGCTTTAAGTGGAAATTGACGATTATAAATGGAATATCCGTGTCGGAAGACTGTTTGGGAGAGGTTGGGAAGCCTTTTGGGTACGCGCACTACCGCAAATAGGTAAAATGAGGTTCGGAAGCCTTGCGGGGGGAGGTTGCCTTCCCTCGCTCGTCTCACATCATGGAGTTTTTGAGCAATAATAAGTTGGTGCATGTAAGGTAATTGGTAAATGGACTGTGTAAGTGTATAGTGTATGTGTATTTGTGTATACATACTTTTAAATTTACGGTTCACATTTAGCCCCTCCCCCCCCTAGAAGCTCTTATGGCCGGGGGGGGGGGCTAAAAAAATATTGTGCCCCCCACATTTACTTGTGCATACGCCCTTGAATTAAAAAAGTATGAAGGCCTGCAATGAAACAAAAGTTTTCTTAAACAGAATAAATGAACTGGTGGGAAACGTTTTTGTTGGATCTTAGCCAATTGGCAAAGTTTAGGACTTTAAGTCGCAGATCTTTAGGTGTCCCTAAAAGTTATTCTAGGAGTAGGACCAGTATATGTTAATTATCAATCTGCTCTATCAGTTCTGGAACTTATAGAAACCTTGAGGATTAAGAGAGAGAAACTTTGTTTATCCTTTGCTAAAAAATGTCTAAAATATCAAAGGCATATTCTGCATTATTCCCGGTAGAACCAGTCACTCACAACCTCCAGCTACGGAACGTTGAACTATTTACAGTTTACTGTCAACTATGCTAGACCGGAGAAATACACAAAATCTGCTATTCCCTATATTCAGAGAAAATCAAACTTCTATGAATTATGATTTAACCTTATCTTAATCTGTGATAAAACCCATGATATATTCAATTATATTCCTATGAGAATGTTAATTATGTTATAATACTAGCCTTATATGGCGCTTCGCGCCCATCTTCTAAATTAATTGTGAACATGTTCTCTTTGTGTACATCGTAAAACAAAACAAAAATAATTCGCGAATTTTCGCCAAAATTTTGTGGCTTTTTAAAATTTTCAAAAATTTAATGCAGATCGAATTTTGATGGAGACAAATATTTAAAATTTTGACCATTCATAAACCTTCCCTGTGTGCACGTGACGTCCCACAAAAAATTTGGGCCCGATCGGTTCAGCCGTTTTGACGTTTATTGGATACAAACAGACAGACAAACAATTACAGACAGACAAGCCAAATTTATATGTAGATGTATTATGATCTTGATTTATCTTTAATAAATCTTACTTACTTACTTACCTACATTGATGCAAAGGCCGCTTATGGGGGAAGGAAGGGGGGACGTCCCCAGCTCCATGTAAATAAAGAGCTCAAGAAGAGAGACCAGGCACCTTCTTATAGCCTTTTAATTTTGATTTTTAAAAATACATTTTTAAAAAATTTCTCTGCGGCGCCACTTATTCACTCTAAATTAAGATTTTTTATAAAAATCCAAATCTTGCTTTCACATTTTTTTACCTTCCAGCTGGGTCATAGTTTGGAATGAACAAATTCCCTGTAAAAAAAATCAGAGAGAGGGATAAAAAACTTTGACGTGCTTTTCGCGCAATGATTCAATTATTTCACCATCCCCTCTGGAAAATATCATAACCCGCCTCTGCATGATGGCTAAACCTAAGCTGCACATTTTTTAAGAGGTGAAATAAATGCTGTCATGGATACCAAATGTCATAATTAATTGGAATCCCCAATTTAAAACTTGAAGCTTTTCATCTTAAATGTTAGCCATCTTGATATTGACTTAAGCCACTGAATTCCCCATGGTTTAGCCAGATATTCCACATAAAATATCCAACCCTGCTGAAATATTTCAAGATTCAGGATTAAAGATGTGTAAGATTTATATTGGAAAATATCTAGATTTATAAGATGGTTATTTTTGGCGCATTTAAATAACAAATTTCCCACATTTCCAGTTAAATGTTATTACAAGAATGAATTAATGTTAACCATTAAAATTTCTCAATTTCTGCCAATATTTATAATATAAAAGAATTGTCTTTTTTTGTTTCTTTTAGACTTACTTCACCGAACAAAATTGTTTTGTTACATAGATTCTATTCTGTTGAAAAGTATCGTTAGTTTAAATCTGTAAAATGCCTCAAAACCGCTCAAAATATTGGAAAAAGGTTCTTTAAAAAAAAATGCTATTGATTGCAATTTTTATATGGATATTGTTAGTCTTGAACCCTTGATCTTGATATCCAATGTGGGAACTTAAATATTTGAGGGGCAATGCATGATCCCTAAATTAAAGTTATAGTACAGGGTAAATGACCATTGACCATCATGCATGGTCCATGGATTTTTGAAGTTGAATTAAATTAATCTGTAGTTCTGAATAAAATAGTGATCATAGCTTAATCCCGAGTTCTGACTTCTTGACACTGGAAGTAAAACTAAAATTTTGATTAATTGTCAATTTAATCCCAAAACTTGAAACTCACTGCCAGGTTTGGACCGAAAGCTCGGTTTGGATCTTTTGTCCTTTCTTTAAAAGATTTTAATACTTTAAATAATCCAAAATTATGACAATGATTTTAATGACAAAACTTATTGATATTTAGAAATCTGGGTTTAGTCTTTTTACAATTCTTTTGTTTAGTGAATAGAAAATTGAAGTATAAGGTATAATATAAAAAATATTTGAATTTGAAAATACCGACATAAAAATGCAAAAATCCAGGAAAAAATGAATTCATCCGATTTTGCCTAATTAGTTCAAGATTAACGATTGATTCACCCCCACTGTTAGAATTAAACATAACGTCTGTTGAGACGGAACTATCAATTACTCAAACCTAATAATATCTCAGCTGGTACATACATAGGATACTTTGTCAACATGCAGCCAGTACTGTACATATAGGATACTTTGTCAACCTGCAGCCAGTATTGCAGTACATACACAATACTTTGTCAACCTGCAGGCTGCAGCCAATACTGTACATACAGGATACTTTGTCATCTTGCAGCCAGTACTGTAAATATAGGATACTATGTCAACCTGAAGTCAGTTCTGTACATAATATATAATGCTTTGTCAACCTGAAGCCAGTACTGTACATATAGAATATTTTGTCTACCTGCAGCCAGTTTTGTACATAATATTTGTCAACCTGCAGCCAGTGGTGTACATATATGATACTCTTTCTAGCTGTAGCCAACACTGTACGTACAATATAGGATACTTTGTCAACCTGCAACCAATACTGTACATTTAGGATACTTTGTCAACCTGCAGTCAGTGATGTACTAAAGGATACTTAGTCTACCTGCAGCCAGTACTGTACATGTAGGATACTTTGCCAACCTGCCAACCAAGAAAAAATGAAAACAGATTTTTTAATAAAAAATTGAGTAATCCCTGTCCTGAAACTAAGATGATTTAAATCGTTCATACCCGACTAGTGAGGGTAGCAATGAAAAAGTATTATGATGACATGTTTAAAGAAAATAGTAAAGATTGTAAAAAAAAAACTTTGCATCAATAAATAGTGTTTTAGGAAGGAGGCGGAACTTTGCAAAAAAATTCTCTGATTATCTCACAGAAAAAACTGATGAAAACTTTATTTTTGCAAATATGACCCCTGATATCATAAATGATGCTCTTAGCAAATTAAAAAATGAAAACAGCTCTGGTCCAGATAACATTTCTACAAACCTATTAAAGTCGATAATGCCAATTGTATCATGGGTCTTTATATCTGCCATTTATTTAATATGTCGTTTAAAACTGGTTATATTCCAACCATCCTTAAAACTGGTAAAATCGTTCCAGTCTTCAAGACTAGAATCTGATAAATTTACAAATTACAGACCAATTAGTTTACTTTCATCTTTTTCAAAACTTTTAGAAAAAGTAGCTGGAAATAAAATCATGAAATATCTAAATAGGCTTAAACTATGAGTACCAGTCATGGGTTAGAATTATTGATAGTGCAAAAACAGCTTCACATACCGATCCTCTTTTCTTTAAGTATAAAATCCATTAAATGATTTGACTGAATTTAATCAAGCAACATTTATGTATAAATACATGAAAAACCTTCAAAACTCCTCATTTAACAACATTTTTAAAAAACTCGGAAATATTGAAAGATCTCTTAACTATCAAATAGACATTCTAAATACAGGCTCATTAGGATATCTTCCCTCATATGCACTTCTTAAGAAATGGAATAACCTGCACTTGATTTTAAAGGAAGTGCCTCGTTGTAAAACCTGTGGTTGGTGTAATCTGAAGATAACTTGTTAATCCTACAAATATTAAATCTACAGATTGCCCCCCCCCCCCTTTAGCTTTCTTACCAGCTGTATCCGGTACATGTGTAGTGACACATTAACTGTACAGTACTCTTGTGTACATTACTATCTTAGTGTACGCAAGTAGTTTGATCAGTATGGAGCTAACCATCACTGGAGATGGGTTAAATATCCCAGAGAGACCCGTGTCGAGAGTCCAAAGTCCAGAGTCCCGAGTCCAGTGTCCAGAGTCCAGATGACAGTAGTACAAAGAGTCTACACCAAGTCCCGAGTCCAGAGGCGTGAGTCCAGTGTCGAGTGTCTAGAGGCGAGAGTCCAGAGTCCGATATCCAGAGATGAGATTTGTATCCAACCTCAATTAAACCAAGAGATAGTGCAGTAAAAGTACGTTTCTTATTAACTTATTTATACATTTATCTTTCAATCTTAGTAACTATATTCTCTGTAACATAAACTAATTTTAGATATTTTTAGATTGAAACCATTGAAATACATATTCAATATTGTCTTTCATGCTTACAATTTGCTGTCTTATATTCTCTTTAAATAGGCTGTAAATCGCCTTAAATAGATTTTACACTCGGTAGGCATATTTAAAAAAAGTTTATTTGAAATGTTATCTGACGCCTACATCTCAAAGTGCAATAAACCCTCAAATTATTCTTGCAAAAAATGAATATAGAACTTTGTAGATTTTTGTACATGCTTAATCTTATTCTGTTATACGCACTAAACTTTAAAACTGAAAAAATAATTATTTTGTTATGCTGCACCTCGGTCTCTCTAAATTTCACTAGTAATCCCTGACTTATTGTAAACTTTTAAAACCTAGTAATATTCATCAAATTGTAAACGTTTTAATATTAATTAGGTGGGGATAGTACCCAAAACAGCAAATAGCTAATCTCCTCCTAATTGCTATAAAACATAAATATAGTAAACAATATAAAAATAGTTGCAGATTTTGGCCTGTAACATAATAATAATAATAATAATAATATTATAACTGTGTATTTTTAACAATAAACTATATCTTATCTTATCTTATCTACTGTACATGGATACTTTGTCAACCTGCAACCAGTTCTGTACATAATATAAAATACTTTGTCAACCTGCAGCCAGTGCTGTACTTATAGGATACTTATAGACTTAACTAAAGCCAGCACTCGTACATAGGATGCATTGTCAATTTTGCGGTAGTAACTTTGCTTTCTAAATGAAAAATTTTTAGCTTTTGTTTTTACAGAATTCTAACTTCAACTTTATTTCATTTACAGGGTGTCCCACGATACATGAAAGTCAAACAGCGAATTGAAGGTCGTCGCTTACTATGCTTAATTTTTTAAATACTTAATCACTGAAGTCATAAATTGTGCAGTTTACAACTTTACACTGACCCACTTCACTTAATAAGTTAATTTTCGAGCTAATGGTAAAATATATTAATAATATTAATAATAATAATTATTATAAAATAATAATGGTATAGCATCAAATACGCATAAATTTGCATAAAAGTCATCTTCTATGCTGTTTCACAGTTTTATAGGTTGCTCTCAGCAGTGTATACTGTTTACTTTACAGAGCGTCTCATATCACCATATCGTATCTAATTATCAGTTATCACCAAGCTTCAATTAGCCAAAATATACACACAAAAAAAACAAAATTAATATTTACTGCATGCAAATTGTTTATTTAGCCTTATACCATTTTTTTAGATGATTCAATCTTTTCAAATCTTCTGATTTGTTCCGAAAATCGCAATTAAGACCTATACACTCTGTATTTGTTGATTAGATATTTCCAATTTGTTTAACCCAAATACGATTAATCGGAGTAGTAAATGATTGATGTTGGTTCCTCCTATTCTTCTATATACATTTAACAACTCAATCTACCTTTTTTTCTATCTATCTATCTATCTATCTATCTATCTATCTATCTATCTATCTATCTATCTATCTATCTATCTATCTATCTATCTATCTATCTTTTACTAACAAATATATATATATCTGTCTATCTATCTGTCTAACTATCCAATATCTCTATTTATCTGTCTATATTTCTGTCTAACTCACTAATATCTATCTCTCTATTTAAGTAATATCTATCTCTCTAACTAACTAATATCTCTATCTATCTATCTATGTAACTAATATCTATATGTATCTGTCTAACTAACTAATATATCTATATATCTGTGCATCTCATGATTTGCTGTTTAATTTTTCTTTGTTTATTGTGCTGAAGGGTGGGTACCTAGGAACATTTGATTGATTGATTGGAACCAATAGAATCTATCTACCCCCCACAGACCAACCGTGCATCTATTTGCTTATCTTTCCGTTCATCTTTCCATCCTTTCATCCCTCCTTCCTTTCACCTAATACATTCGATTCATCTTTCATTAATTGCATCCTTCATTTAAATCATCTTCCATTCAATACATAAATTTTATCTGCTATTAATTTCGTCTTCTATTAATTTCATTTTTCATTAATTTCAACTTCTATTAATTTCATTTTCCATTAATTTCAACTCTCATTAATTGCATCCTACATATAAGTAATCTCTCATTCAATTAATCTTCCACTAATTTCATAATCCATTAATTTCATTTTCCGTTAATTTCATCTTCCGTTAATTTCATTTTCCATTAATTTCATCTTTCATTAATTTCATCTTCTATTACGATACTAGAGACACGTAGCACGAGAATTCAACAGTAATCTGTCAATCCAATACAAAACAATTATTTATATCCAATTTCAACATTTTTGTCCATTTTAGGACCTATAGATATCCAATTTAAAGTTTTATATCTAATTCCCAGCTATTTATCTGCCATAAGACCTTTATTATCCAATATTCAAGGTTTCTATCCACCATACAACCTTTAATATCCAATATTCAAGGTTTAAATCCACCATACAACCTTTAATATCCAATATTCAAGGTTTTTATCCACCATGCAACCTTTAATATCCAATATTCAAGGTTTATATCCACCATACAACCTTTAATATACAATATTCAAGGTTTATATCCACCATACAACCTTTAATATCCAATATTTAAGCTTTCTATCCAACATAAACCTTTTAATATCCAATATTCAAGGTTTATATCCACCATACAACCTTTAATATTCAATATTCAAGGTTTATATCTACCATACAACCTTTAATATCCAATATTCAAGCTAAATATCCACCATAAACCCTCTAATATCCAATTTTAAGCGTTGTATCCACTATACAACTTTCATAACCAACATTTAGGCTTTATATCCACCTACACCGTTTTTATCAAATATTCAGGTTTTTATCTGTATCATATCAAATTGCGCTTTGTGTCCCAAAAATATTTCATTTGTTTTAATCTATGAAATAATATCAAATTAAGCATACAACCTAGATATATCATATATGTAATGTTAATTTCTGAAAAGGTTTTCTTACAAATCACATTTTAGGCTTTTGCACGGTAATTCATACGTCGTGGTTTAGTATATCAGTCTACTAATTTGCCCTCCTTTTCTTCCATTAAAAGTGGATTTCTTTTTTAAATCATACTTTATTCTTTTCAGATGGATTATTTGTTTTGATATTTAAATGAACGAGCGAACTTGAATACAGTTTGTACTTGTATTAATTATTAATCATATGTTTTACTAAATATTATCCTGTCATGCTCAAGACGGGGTTTAACTAACTAGCTCGTGATGTCTACAGATAGATTCTGCCATTTTTCCAGCTTTTACACGTTCAGCTTCCATACTTGGTCATTATATAACTTCGGTTTAAACCACGTTAAATTATGGTAAACTAGCTTGGGAACCCAGCTTTTCCGGGACATCAAGTTTTTGTATCAAAAGTCAACCTATCCCAATTTAGTTTACATATCTATTATTACTGCTTTACATGTAAATTACACGAAAGAGTAAAATCGTACATGCTTTCATGCATCGTAACTTATTTTCCCGAGGAGCTTTTGAACAACATTAAAGATACGAGGTCATAAAGATGTTTCAGTAGTTTTCGCATAGATTTGACCTTTTTTTCAAGATTGGAATAAAACAGATTTATCAAGTGTTTAAAAAGTCTTAAAAGAATTCTGATTTTCCAATCCGTGTATATTTGCCACCCAATGTCGTAGCCCTGAGATATTTCAATCTATAAACTCTGTTTGATCAAATAACCTAGGTTTGAAATATTTAAGGTTTACACCATCAAGCTGCAAATATATAGAGCTTAGAGATAATTTCATTTTCAGGCAATGACTAATTTCTTTTCACAGAAAATTTTAATGATCTTTTTGAAAAATCAATAAATTGATACTTTTTATTATTTAATTAATATATCATTTGTTTGTTTATTTGATTACTATATTAATTTTTTGTTTGTTATATAACTATATTATTTGTTTGTTTATTTGATTACTATATTGTTTGTTTGTTTATTATATAACTATACTATTTGTTTGTTTATTTAACTACTTGTTATTTGCTTTTTGTCTTACGCATTGTTTCTTTCTTTGTTTGTTCATTTAACAGCTTAATCTTTCGTTTTTTATTACTGGATTTGTTGGTTTAATAAATTACTTGATGAATTTTCATTTTTTCAATTACTTGTTTTTTTCTTTATATAATTAAATTGTTCAACTATTACTTTATTTTTTGCTTATTTAATTAGTTTTTTTTAACTTCTTAGTTGTTATGGTGTTTGTTTGTTTGTTCAATTGCTTGATTGTTTTTATCTAATAACATTATCATATGTTTGTTTATTTGAAAGTTTGGGCACCTGGTTGTTTGTTTGTTTATTTTTATGTTTGTTTGCTTGTTTTTTTTCTGTGGCTGATATACCTTGCGTAAAATTCTACATATATACAGTATACAGCGAGGGATGGTGATTATTCAAAACATGACAGATGAACAGACAGACATACAGACAGACAGACGGACAGACGAGTGGAGAACTACACTCTATTAAATATACACTAGATGACAGATATTGACGCTAATGACCGTGCAATGGTGTATACTTCGTAGACCTAAGTCTCGAAGCCACAAACTTAAGAAAGGATATCGTTATGAAGAAACACAGTTTCGTAAACCCGGTTTTATGAATGGGGTAGGCAATTTTTTGTATATCAATATTTTTGAACTGAAATATTTTCATCATGCTTTTAATCCTAAGATGTGGTATTTCTTAAATTGAAATCTACAAAAATAGACCCAAAAAAGAACTTATCAAAACTCACCAAACCAAACTATCCTATTCTCTAAGCTATCCAATTCCAAAACAAACTTTCCTATTCTTTAAACCAAACACTTCAAACCAAACTATCCTTTTCTCCAAACCAAACTATTCTATGCTTCTAACCAAATTATCCTATTCTCCAAACCAAACTATACTGTTCTCCAAGCCAAACTATCCTGTTACAAACCAAACTATCTTATTCTTCAAATCAAACTATCCATATTACAGACCAAACTAT